AAGTAAAATTTATTTTCATCCATTTAGCTTCTTTTGCACCGCTGTAGTCACCACACCCCCACCATCTTGGAATTGTAGATTATGATGACATTTAAGTCAGAATAGTGCAATGGATGCCGGTTTTTTTACCCCGGTGGGGGGGTGTTGAGGTTACCCCGTCCCTCCTCTCAGAGCTGGATTTGGTTTTTAAGTTACCTTCCTCTAACTACAAGGCAAGAGGTGGTTTGAATTCAGAGTTTCTTTCTCCTAGACTGGTTGCCAATCAAGACATTTTTATACAGAGCTATTTTATCCGAAGATCGAAAAGTAAAATTTATTTATTCATTCATTTAGCTTCTTTTGCACCGCTGTGATCACCACACCCCACCATTTTGGAATTGTAGATTATGATAACATTCAATTCAGAATAGTGCAATGGCTCGCTGGTTCCTTTTTGCACCGGGGATGCTGAGGTTATCGCGTTCCCTCCTCTCAGAAATTAAACAGGCAGGAACTAAAAGGCAACAAGTGGTTTGAATCCAGAGTTTTCTTTCTCCTAAACTGGTTGCCAAACAAGGCTGTAGGGCTCAGTTGGTTGGCTGATTTTGTTTAGCAGCATATCAACCTCTAAGGCTTATTTAATGCCGAAATCTAAATATTTTGAACATAATTTTATGGCTTCAATCAAATATTGTTGATAATTCTGCTATAAATAGATATTGTTGGTAATTTTACTATAAATAGGTATTGTTGGTAATTTTATTAGATGTATTGTTGCTAATTTTTATACTTTCATACTACTTTTATGCATAAGTTTTTTGGTTTTTTTGGTGGGGGTTCACTATTTGCCTAAAGCTGGGACCCAAACAGGTACTACCACCCTGGTTTAGGGTGGACCTCGGAACAATAGCAATTAAGAGGTGTTTCCACGCTCCTCAAAACCTCCAATCTCCCGATCTTCCTGCCAGATGTTAAAAATCCTGCTATTTACTCATTAGACAAAGTGAAGGTTGAACAACTTCGCAGGAGGCTATCCTATCAGCAGATGTTTAATATCGGGACTATTGTAGTGCAATTTTGTGAATGGGTTCTGGACTGTGCAAGACTCCGATGGAGCCTCTCGATGCCATGCTGTATACTGTTATGACTGAACCTCCGGACAATTTAGTCCAAGTTATTGATGCATACATCTCCCTAGTATTCACCCGAACACCCTAACTGATTTCTGAATATGACCACAACAAAATTGAACAAAATAATTAAACTCAACCCCCACAAAAAAAAAGTAGACCCCATCTCCTATACTAATGTGTGGGGTCTGCGTTCCAACTTACCAGAGGTGATACCTATTACATTGTAAGAACTCAGGCTACTCGCCCCCAATAGTAAGACCTGCTATGCCACGTCAATCGTAGCAAACCACACCCATTCCTTTCGTATTTCATTGTTGATAAAAAAAAATTTCCACTTGAGCAGCTTCTTCCCAAGAACCCCGGTTCTGTGGAACCGGTTACTAACAGGATATTTGCCTTATTACTACATTCTTAATCTATTCAAATCTAGGTTTAACCGTTATCCGTCCACATATCCCCATAAACGGTGCCTCTTACTCTGTAACCCTCTACCTCGAGTGACTTATGGGCCTTGTACAGGATGAACATCATTGTGACAGAGAAAATCTTCATTTAACGACTTGGGTTCTGTTCCAGCAATCTGTTCACAAAATGAGCTTACCGATGAGTAAGTAGTTATATATCTGACAGCTATTTCCGGTGTGCTATCATATAATGAGTGTTTTTTTATCAACCGCTGTCAGGTCTCTTTAATGTCACTTTTGCTCCAATTATAACATTTCTAATATATTTATAAATATTTATACAGCTCAGTAGTGTACGTATAAATATTTATACAACTCAGTAGACGTATTTGAAAATGTAATAAACAAATTAAAAAATCAGCTTACATCAACAATTCCCAACGTGGGGCGCATACCCTACTAGTGGCGCATGGTAATATCTTGGTGGGACATGTGTAGGATGTGCACCCTTCAGCTTACTATACCAATAGAATAAGGGGGTAATTTGAGAATGAGTTATTAACAGTGAATTGTTTTCTAGTGAGTTCAGATTTCATTTTGCATTATTATTGTTATAAATAATCAAGAGTGGTCTCCCCTTGTTTCGTTAATCTCCTCTTTGAGTGAGCTATTTCTGTTTACTGGGACTATAAAAGGACACTATACGCGAATTTTGTATTCTCAGATGAATAAATCTTTCTTAAACCCTACACCTGCGTACTTTTGTTATTACAATTATTTGAGGATTAAAATGATCAAAGAATAATCTTCCATTCAAATATTTTATATTTCTGCATTTCAGTTCTCTATTATATGTTTTGAAACTATATATATATATATATTTAACTGTCTTTTGGTTTTGTTTTTTTTAATTTTTCTCTTTCATGGACGCCGTGGTTTTTGGAGGCTTGTTTAGAGACCAAGTTAACGGCCTTTTAAGTTTCCTTCACGTGAATTGCAGTAACATTTCCAATATGTAAGAATTAAATATTACAGGGAGGTACCAGAATTTTAGAAATACTAAAATAGGGTATGGCCCAAAACCGGTTGGGAAACACTGGCTTACATAGTATAAATAAAGTACAAGTAAAATTTTATTTATATATTCACTTATATATTATATTTATTATCAATAAAAGAAATCAATTAAGTTTTCATACATTGTTACAATACCGGTTTTATTCTATGACAGTTTATATATCTCGCCGTATAGCCGGGGCTTTAAACGTGTAAGTCGTTATGCGAGGAGTGGCTGAATAACAATCTGTCTTCTCAGCGTGTATTATTAAACTAAATATGTTGAGAAAATATTTTAAAGCTTTTAATAAATGAATTCAATTTTGACATTTAGAGCGAAGTCTAACTTATAATTTATTTAAATGCCAACTGCCTTTAAGATGTAAGCGGCCATAGCTTTCCACGTAGCTTTTGTCTATTATCTGTAAAATGAAATGGCTTTATAGGTGGAGTGGTTTCCTGGTGTTTCCTTCACAATTTTAAATTCAGAGTAATCTTTCACTTAAGCATACTGGCGCTCAAGGCTAGAAAGCCCGGTTTACCTTACTATTTAACCCATAACTGTGAATGAAGATCTATTAAATGTACTGAACGATAGAATTGCATTGTGTGAGACATACTTATGTATAATTTCTTTTTTGTAATCGTAGCCAGAAATCAGACTGTCCTGGGTATGACGACAAACTACATCCGGCAGCAATGCCTCTGATCAGGAGTTTTTGAGGTGCGTGGAACTACCACAAAGAGGGAGGCTTTGAGCATTTGACATTCACTGGACTTTCAAAAGACATTCGTCAAAAATTAACATGCCAATTCACTGGCAATGAAAAAGGAAGCCATGGAGAGTAGTGATCACCTACGTCCCGAAGAGTCTTAGTATTTTGAAAAAAATTTATCTCACTCTATTTCTATCTGTTTCTCTATGTATTAATATATATTTCAGTCTGTTGTGTATCTATCTATCTATCTATCTATCTATCTATCTATCCCCGGGCTCTATCTATCAAATAGAGTCCATTATCAACTACCTCTTAATTGGTGCATCAATTACATCTTAAATGTGGTAGTTCCCAGGTCTACCCTGACCCGGGATGGTAGAACCTGTTATGGTCGCAGCTATGGGCAAATAGTTAACCTTCTAAAGTGGGGTCAAAACACTATGAAAGTCCAGAAATAGATTTTTATGGTAAAATTACCTGCCTTATTTTTTTTTGGAATTCCAGCAATACATTTGACTGTTGACAAAAAAAACCCTCTTTACAAAAATACCTCAATGAAACCTGATCTATTACAAAATTTGACTTATTACAAAACATACATATTCTATTCATACGTACCTATCCTAAAAAAATTGTCGATATTAAATAACCGATTGAGGTTGATATGCCGTAAAAGAAAATGAACCAAAATAAACAAACCAGAAATCAGAATGGACATTGGAATAATAAAATATGCCTTCCAAAAACTAAACAATTGTATTAAGAAACTAGATTAGAAATACAAAGAAAACCGTATTGACTGCTATGTAATATCAAACCTCCTATATGAGTGCTGGAAAATGTTCTCACCTATGAAGGGACAACAAAGAAATGGTGGTGCAGAAGGATGCTGAGAATTCTATGAACAGAGCATGTGAGTAACGATGAAGATTTAAGAAAAATGCACACGAAAATGACAGAATTAAAATCGACAGTTGACATTTATGAGACAGATAATGAGGAGAGACTTGGAGCAATTGACATTCACAGGACACACCGAAGGCAAGAGAGACAGGGGTGAAACATTCGTCAAAAATTAACATGCCAATTCACTGGCAATGGAAAAGGAAGCTATGGAGAGCAATGATCGCCTATGTCTCGAAGAGTCATAGTATTTTTAAGAAAAATTATCTCACTCTATTTCTATCTGTTAGTCGTTGCTTTGAAATTTTTCATGCAACAAAAACAGACTATCATTATTGTTCCGTGTATTGGTTGGTATATTGAAAAGTAATTGTCATCTTTGATAATGTCTTATGTAAGCTGAAAGCTTAGATTGGATTTAAACATGTATCAATATGGGGATTTCCTTTCGTCTTTCAATGATAATGTTATTAAGCTTATCAGACAATATGAAAGGAACTTAAAATAAATAGACAAAACCTGTCTATATTATTTAATGAAACATGCATCAATGAAATATTGCTGCCTAAATATACACAATTTCTCTGTTTATCTATGTATGTATTCACATATATTTCAGTCTGTTATGTATCTATTTATCTATTTATCCACTCCAGACTATCAATTATCTACCTATGTGTGTGTGTGTGTGTGTGTGTGTGTGTGTGTGTGTGTGTGTGTGTGTGTGTGTGTTTGTACTCTTATTTCCATCCATATATCTATCTATCTATTTACCTATCTACGTGTATTCATATATATTTCCATCTATGTATATTCATCTATCTATCTATCTATCTATCTATCTATCTATCTATCTATCTACGTATCTCAGTCTATTCATATCTATCTATCTATCTATCTATCTATCTATCTATTTTTATTCATATATATTACATTCTGTTATCTATCTATCTATCTATTCATATATATTATATTCTGTTATCTATCTATCAATGTATATATATCTATTTACCTATCGATCGATCGAGCTATGTGTATCCATATATATCTCACTTTGTTATCTATATATCCATGTATATTCATATATATTCCTATCTATCTATCTATCTATCTATCTATCTATCTATCTATCTATCTATCTATTATATTCTGTTATTTATCTATCTATCCATGTATATACATCTATCTATCTATATCCATATATATCTCAGTTTGTTATCTATCTATCTATCTATCTTTCTTGTATTCATAATATTCTGTTATCTATCTATCTATCTATCTATCTATCTATCTATCTATCTATCTATCTATGTGTATTCATAACATTCTGTTATCTATCTATATCTCCCTATCTTACATCTATATAAGTCCTGTCTATTTCGGTTGATGCGCATCCATGACTATCTCTTTCATAGTTTTCTTCTCACTGATCAAGCGGCAGGGGATTCATCTCGTATAGTAATGAAATCGGATTGTGTCCGTGGGGGGGGGCCTTCGAATAGAGCAAACAACCAAAGAGAGGAAGATATCTTATGAATAAAAACTTAACTGATCACAACGTGACAATAATGGCCAATATCAATACAAGTGTTTGACTTTTTTAATCATTTCACCCCAAGCAAGAGGATAAAGCCATTAAAACAGTTAAAAGGGGTTACTGAGTGTAAAAAACAATATTATGGTGAGAGAACAAAAAAAGAACAAGAATTAATTAAACAGAAGATAACAATTGACATTGCATTTAAATTTTTGAAGATCAAGGTTGGCTGGAAAGCAAGAAGCCGGAAAACATTTTCACATGCAAGAAGTGCGAGATTTGAAACTGATATATATATATAAGCATTTCAACTGTACAATGATGAGCCCTTGCCGTTAATCTAATAGTACGCTTAGATTCATAAGGTCTAGGTACCATCGAAGAAAGTTCATCAGAACAATTACCATCAAAAGTATTTATAGACAAGGCATAGGAAAGCTACGTTACAGTGGTGAGAATCCGAGATGCCAGGTCAGGACCCATAACATTCGAACCAGAAGTGGTAACAATATTCTAAAAATGGTAGATCTATCTTACATATCTATAAGATGTGTAAGATAGATTTTGGCGAGAAAAGCACGACACAGTGAACCAGATTTTCTAGGAGCAAACCTAACTGTTGATTCAATATAAACGATTGCCCGATAAGACGCAATGAGTACCTCTCCTGTTGATTAGCATCGGCCATGTTGAAGGGAATCAAAAAGGATTAAACGAGAGTAGTTTCGTTTTGGAAGTGTTAAAATTAACAAGCCATTTCTTGCCCCATTTAACAACAGATTGAAGGTCATTTTTGTCCATTTGTCTTTATAACTCAGTCAGGCCTACAATTAACACAGAAGCAAATATATGCGTTATCAGTACAGATAGCGAATTGGCAACTGAAAACATCTGGAAAGTAATTGTTGAAAATTTAAGATATCTTCAATCCCATGCTTTATGCAAATTTTAATCTATCTATTAGGGAACATTTTTCTGCATTCCTTCGTTAAGTCAACTGCTATTTTACTGTTTATCGACCATTTGTAGGCTATTTAAAGCCGAATCAAATTTCAGTTTATTGTAGGTTCTTTATAGTATTTGGCATTCACAAGCGCCTCCATTTAAGTACTAACCAGGCTCAACGTAGCTTAACTTCAGTGATCGAACGAGAACCGTTTTTTTTCAGGTTTTTCTTTCTTTTTATGTACCGTGTCCTTTCAAGACGTAGGCGATCGTGATTCTCCACTTCCTCCTATCCCTTGTAGCTTTCAATAAGATTCGTCCCTCTGCTTCCTCCCCCAAACCACGTTCTGTCATCCACTTGCTTAAGTCCACCATGTATGTCATGCGTTGCTTTTCCTTGTCTTTCGTTCCCTCTATTCGACCTCTGAGTATCATATTCTCCAGGGCCTTCTTTCTCATTACGTGTCCCAGAAATTTCATCCGCCTCTTCCTGGTGTTAAGTATAAGCTTCCTTCTTGTTTGCCTGCACCCCAAAACCTCATCATTGCTCACACGCTAGGTCCATACTTGATCGTAAGCCAACTGATAGTGATTTCTTAAGTGTAGTTTAGATGTGGCACAAGGCAGCATATACGGAGTACCCATTGAGGACCGAACACAATACTAAGTCATAATTGATCTAGCAAGACAAGCTTGCTAACAATTACACCACGTAGAAGTGCCCCAAAATATAGCCTTTGACCGTAAGCCAACTGATAGTGATTTCTTAAGTGGTAACAATATTCCAAAAATGGTAGATCTATCTTACATATCTATAAGATGTGTAAGATAGATTTTGACGAGTAAAGCACGACACAGATGAATTACAACTGAGTATTCAGTTTGGTTCTCACTGGGTGCTCCGTACATTCTGCACAAGGTAGAATGTACGGAGCACCCAGTGAGAACCAAACTGAATACTCAGTTGTAATTCATCTAGAGAAACAAGATTGCTAACAATTACATCACGTAGAAGTGCTCGAAAATATAGCGATTTACTAAGCGTGGTTTATATGTGGCACAAAGCCGAAAAGTACGGAGCACCCAGTGAGGTCCTAACTCACTACTCAGTCGTAATTGATCTAGCGAGACAAGTTTGCTAGCCATTATATCACGTCGAAGTGCCCCAAAGTGCCCGATTTACTAAGTGTAACTTAGATGTGGCACAAGGCCGAAAGCACTGAGAACCCAGTGAGAATCGTACTCACAACTCGTGTGAGCCAACTGATAGAAAGCAATAACTGTAATTTAAGTGTAAAACACCGGTAGACGTACTACTTGTTTGCTTTTGAAATGTTTGAAATTTGTTTTCTTTTTAATTTGCACTCCACCCTGCACAAAATCTAAGATCCATTTTATGGGTGGTGGTCTCTCTGACAAAATAAATAAATTCAACTCAATAAAAATATATTGTTTCCTTTTTATTTACTTTGCTTTATCAAATGATTTCTTTTGGACATAATTTGATAACCAATCCTATTTTCATTTACCGTTCACCAATTATAGATTTTACTAGCATTGGGTACTCAAACGGCACCGTGTTGTGCAGACACACACAAAAAAAAACTGACAACGTTGTATAGGAAAGCAGGAAGAAAGTAATAACTATCAAGTGACAAAAGACTGAATGAATATTTGTCAACAAGAGTTCAAGCCCAAGATGCTAGTTAAAAATTGGATATGTTGATTGATTCGTTTTCTACGGCTTATCAACCCTTTGCAGTTTATTTAAAGCCAGAAAATATTTTTAGATTTTAAGACTTGGGGTATTTTCTTTTTAATGGTTTAGTAATAATATCTTACTAATTAACCCATAGCTTGGGGGAGAAGAGCTGGATTAATACCTAATCAGAATTTGCTAAACAAACAAGAAATTATAATGTGGATATAAAGTGGGGGGACAATCCTATATTATAATCAATATGTAAACTTATCCCTCATTTTATGGCTACCGTAGATTTTACAGATTTATATTCGAGAGAATGTGAATAAATTTAAAAGATATGCCAGTGTAGCTAATCAGCATTTCATTGATTGATTCGTTTTCTAAAGCTTATCACCTTTTGCAGGTTATTTAAAGCCAGAAAATATTGTTAGATTATAATAATTTTTTTTTAAGATAATAACGATTTAGTAATAGAAGACTTACTAATTGACTCACAGATGGAGTTGTAGCAATATCAGTCAGCTGAGATGTTTTTTACATTGAAAACAGCTGGACCTCTCGAAAAAATGATTTCAGAACATTTCTTTTCGACCAATGGTCATCAGTATCCTTCACGAGCAGCCCACACAAAGAGGAATAAAACTGGCCAGTACCCCGAAAAGACAGAGAGAGAGAGACAAATCGCGCCTAAGAGAACGGACAGGGAAGACACCCGTTAGACTTTTCACCTCCCATCTCATGTACGCCCCGAAAAGACACACAGAGAGACGTGTCTGGCCTCGGAGAACGGACAGGGAAGACAGCCGTTAGACTTTTCACCTCCCATCTCATCTACGCCCCGAAAAGACACACACAGAGAGACGTGTCTGGCCTCGGAGAACGGACAGGGAAGACACCCGTTAGACTTTTCACCTCCTATCTCATCTACGCCCCGAAAAGACACGCAGAGAGAGACGTGTCTGGCCTCGGAGAACGGACAGGGAAGACACCCGTTAGACTTTTCACCTCCCATCTCATGTACGCCCCGAAAAGACACACAGAGAGAGACGTGTCTGGCCTCGGAGAACGGACAGGGAAGACACCCGTTAGACTTTTCACCTCCCTATCTCATGTACGCCCTGAAAAGACACACAGAGAGAGACGTGTCTGGCCTCGGAGAACGGACAGGGAAGACACCCGTTAGACTTTTCACCTCCCATCTCATGTACGCCCCGAAAAGACACACAGAGAGAGACGTGTCTGGCCTCGGAGAACGGACAGGAAGACACCCGTTAGACTTTTCACCTCCCATCTCATGTACGCCCTGAAAAACACACAGAGAGAGACGTGTCTGGCCTCGGAGAACGGACAGGGAAGACACCCGTTAGACTTTTCACCTCCCATCTCATGTACGCCCCTGAAAAGACACGCAGAGAGAGACGTGTCTGGCCTCGGAGAACGGACAGGGAAGACACCCGTTAGACTTTTCACCTCCCATCTCATGTACGCCCCGAAAAGACACACAGAGAGAGACGTGTCTGGCCTCGGAGAACGGACAGGGAAGACACCCGTTAGACTTTTCACCTCCCATCTCATGTACGCCCCGAAAAGACACACAGAGAGAGACGTGTCTGGCCTCGGAGAACGGACAGGGAAGACACCCGTTAGACTTTTCACCTCCCATCTCATGTACGCCCCGAAAAGACACACAGAGAGACGTGTCTGGCCTCGGAGAACGGACAGGGAAGACACCCGTTAGACTTTTCACCTCCCATCTCATGTACGCCCCGAAAAGACACGCAGAGAGACGTGTCTGGCCTCGGAGAACGGACAGGGAAGATACACACATATACTCTCACTTGGTTAGGCACCTCGACGTGGTGTAATGGCTAGCAAGCTTGTTCTCCTTACATCAGTTACAACTGAAAAGTGAGTTTGATCCTCACTAGGCGCCTCATATTTCGGCCTTGTGCCACATTTAAGCTACGCTTAGAAAATAACCATACTCCTCGCTCTTTGTTTCCTCCTGTCTTTAATTTTCCTTTCTTTCTACTCTATTTCTCCCCCTGTCTCTCTCCTCATTTTCATTAACTTTTTCTTCTCTCGTTTCCTTTTACATTTTTTCTCTTCGTCCCTTTATTTCTGGTTCTTTCTTTTTAATTCTCTTGCTTTTTTCTTTTCTTTCTTCCTCTCTCTCTCCC